GGTTCAAACGTCGAACTTTACATTAGACTGTTCACAGTCCCCTATTTTCCCGTAAGATCGTCGAGATCGAGCGCTTTGCGTTACGGGCTGCCAACTTGCATGAGTGTCAAAACTACTTAGGGGGCAGGGGGCGGATAGGGAGGAAGCGAGAAAAATAGAGGGACTGTAATAACATCACTGCAGCTCGCATTCAATCAGTGAAAAATAATTGAGAGCTCGACCCTGAACCAGTAACGCAAGCTATAGACAAAAGCTGGCTGAATGAAAATACCTTCCTCAAAGTCTGTAGCGTTCAGTGCGTTAAGGACTTTTCCTGCACTCTTAATTCATGTACTGGTTATGTTTCTGGTGAAAACACGACTGAAAGCAGCATAAACCAAACGTCAAACCTCAACTAGGCTTCGGTGCCTCTTAACTAGTGTGATGAAACCGAAATTGAAAAAAATCCCTGACTTACCCTGAATTCCAAGAAACAAAAACGCTATGTTCGCGATGTCACTGATATTCATAATGTCTCGATCGGAGGAGAATTGGCTTGGACTGCTGACACTTAGGTGCGATGGCATCGACTCATACTGTCCAAGCATTATAATTGTAAAAAACCGACAGAGTCATAGCTTTCTCCGTAATACGCGAGACAAAGGGTCAATAGGGATATGGGTAGCCCTCTAAAAAGGCTCCAATAATAACTTTTAAATGACACATTTCACGGCAGTGGATCCTAGAGCAACAATTCGTGCATGAATTCGCTTATTATCTCCGACAGCCTAACGGGTTGCATTTACAGGCACAGTTAACAGATAATATGTAACGTCGAACAGATCACATGGACACACATGGATGTAGTAAAGCCTTCTTTAACATTAAACACGGGAATTACTGACTTTTCTCGTGCTGAATTAAGTAAATTTGACTATTATATACACCTAATTGCAATAAGGTTGTCATAGAAAAAAGTAAAAAGCAAAAAGTTAAATAGGAATTAATTAGCATGTAATTATCATAGCTATTGCAACATTCACAACACACACGCTTATAGCTGAATATTAATCACGTATAGTAATATGAGAGAAATCATTTGCATCAGTTTCTTGGTGTCATTCTAATGCAATTCGAGGCTGATTCAAACGTGCTCGAATTACAAAGCACATCGGATAACGACTAAAGAAAAAATGGCTCCATTTTTTTTTTCAATAAATATAGCCTGGGGTAAATTCCAGGAACTCAACGTATGTTTTAGATTAGTGCTAAATAGAAAAGCCAATCTGCGTATGGTTTGCAGTGCACAACACCAACTGATAACAATTTTCAAGCAACAAATCAGGGGCGTAGGCAGGACTTTTCATCGCGGAGAGGGTGAGGGGGTCCTCCGCCAGTTCCTCACCTGAGCCACAAACCAAGCTTCGTTTGTCAGGACATAATAGATTGGCGACTGAAAGTGCGAAAACTGAGACTTAATATTGCTTGCGTCAATTTACCTTTTTCTTTTTCGAATTGTGCGACTTCTGTTGATGGAGAACGTTGGCTCTAAAATGACTATGGCGCGGAATTACAGCGCGGAATTACAGAATTATCTTTTGTTATTGTGAATGAATTCCTAAATAATTGTTAAATACTGAATTAAAATACGCAAATGTAAATCACATGGCTAATTTATTCCTATTTGTCTTTTTGCTTTTTGCTTTTTCTATGACAACGTTTTTGCAATTAGGTGTATAAAGGAAAAAGGCTCATTTGACACAAATTGAAAACTTTCTTTAAACGCCCTTGTGGTTGTTTCAGTCTTCCTTAGACGTTCCAACAGGCACTTTTGTAGTACGCAAGCATGAATAACACGCAACAAGCGCTCCTTGATCGGTGAACGCGTTCACGCACCTACTGACCATCTTTGTGAAAGGCGAATCGCTGCAAAGACAGAGTGCGATCTGGGTACGAGTTAAAAGTATAGAAATGTAAAACTTTAGGGCCGGTTATTTGAACAAAGATTAGACGGCAGGGCCCGCGGAGCAGTTTTTAATTTTCGATATAAGTTAACGAACCTCGTTATAACGAACATATTTTACCACACCCTTGACCCTTCGTTATATCGAGGTTCCACTGTACTTAATTTTATTTATTTATTTTTTAAAAAGTGAGGGGCCCTGGCTCCCCCAGCCCCTTCCCCCGCGCGGGCCCTGGACGAGTTAAACTACCGTTCTATTGTTTAAAATAATAGTTGCGAATGATGACACTTATACACTGGTCCTTCAATAGCCTTGTCTGAGTATCAGGCTTTTCTAAGGGGCTACGAGACAGGAGATTTTCGCTTTTCTTTTCCCCTTTTTCCTCCAGAAACACCTGATACTCGGCAGGCTGTCAATAGGCCTTTAACAACTTGCAAAAACCAGAAAACCTTCACTTTCAAACGAGACCAAGTGCAGAAACAGTCCTCATTATAAAAATGATTTTTTTTAATGATAATATAGATAGCTCACTTCACATCTAAGTTTTTCCACTGACTTGACGCAACCAGTAAATGGACTGAGGACAACCTCGTTCCCAGGGACGGGTAGGAGAGAACCCTGGGAACGAGGTTGACCAGAAAGTTGCATACCTTTCTGAGGGTAAAATTTGGTTTCCGCAGACGCTGGAAACGATCCACGATGTTAAACTTGCGGGGCATTGAGGGGTAGAGTAAGATCACTACACTAGCGAGGTTACAATCAACGATAAGTTAAAGAGACAAACTATTTCCTATTTCACTCTGAACATTTCATTCAGTTTTGTACCCCGGACACACAGGTCTCTCGGTTTAAACTGGTGTCAGGAGAACAGGAAGGTCGCCTATGATTGTTACGTATATCTCGTTGGTTCCGGCCATCGCCGCGTAAAGGATGAACAAACAAACTGGCGTCGGTAAAATAACCTTCGTGTCTCTTCCAAATTTGAGGGAAAAAACCCTTGACTGAGAACCTCTTTGCCAATGACTCTGAATGCCGCGAGGATTGTGAATATGATAACGAATGTAATAATCATTGTAGTATAGAAGTGAAAGTGTTTTTGCAGATGTCGTGCGAGGAATAAATTATCCCTTCAGACCAAAAAGTCCAAAAAAAATCTTCCGGTAAAAGGAGGGCGGAAAGTTAACAACTTGGTCAAAAATAATACACGCCCCGGAGTATTGTTAAATTCACTCCTTACTACAACCGCTCAGTATATTTACTACTTGTCAATACTAAGAAAGTAAGAGCGTATTTACAGGGTACAGACCATACTTGTTGCTACTCCAGCTTGAATAAAGCAAACAATATCAGTCGGTTCTAAATTCAGGATATAAACTTTACCACCCTAAACTGAATGAGGACTATATACAAGTTGTACGTTAATTCTGCATAGCTCACTTCTTGAGTGCACGTAAATGCTGCATGTAACACTTCCTTAATCATCCAACTGGCAAAGAAGAGCCACACCACGCATGATCCAATGGGACTGTGGCTGATCACATGGCAGGCGCATGTCCATCACAAAGTTAGTGGAGTGGCCTGTGAGAGCGTACCTCTCCTCTCGCTTGTTTTGTAAAGAGGGGCGACATAACGCGGCCGGTCAACAATGTCTTCCTTCTTGCAAAGTCTGAGCCACAAAACAGGCATGCTATCATACAAAGCTTTCTGGTACGACTCTCTAATCACTCTCTTTTCTCGATCCCATCGACAGCCTTCCATGAACAAGCCATTAACATAGACACCGTCCTCGGGTGGAGTTTCGTAATTATTGTCGCCAAGAACCTTGAAGACAAACGTTAGGAGATCAATAGGAATGGTGTATTTTCTGGCGTAGTTCTGCTTTGATCCCGTTAAGAAGGCCTGAGTGAAGAAAAACCCAGATACCCAGAACATGGGAGGCACTCCATTGTCATACCACTCTTGAAGAAAATTGAGGCGAGCAATCAGATCATTGACGTAACTGCCGAGTGGTTTAAGAGATGGGTAGGACTTCTTCATCTACAGATCAGGAATGTTGCCTTCAAGGATGCCGCTCGCTACCTCCTCTAGTTCAAAGATCATACCAACCAGGCCCTGAGATCATATAAAAGGTCGGGTAAACCGTCTTAGTGAGTCATTCCTAAACACGCAGCGAAAACTACTTCCTGTAAGTGAGCCTACCCCGTAGAAAAAGGAGCAAAATATATACCCGCCAGGGAGGGGTAAGAGGAAACAGTAACATGTCTCGGGTAGATTTCCTAGACACAAGTGTAATGTGCAACATATCACCCAATATCGCACACAGATGAACGCAACATGATTTGAAATAACGGAGGTTGCCTGACGTACTATTTCCACCTTAGGGGAAACTGTATTTACTGCTTTCAGTCAGCGACAAGTTCGAGAGGGTCCAGTAATACAGTCAACTCTCTTTAAACAAACATCAAGAGTTAGTCTCTGTCTTATTTGACCCTCTATGCATTGGACACCTAGAGTAAGTCATTTTCAGTCATTTCCTCTGACTCTCTATAAGGCGCGCAGACACTTCCCGTTGCAATGGCTACGGTCTGCCTTAGAGACTGTAAAGGAACAAAGATTCTACTTCACGTTTAGTCAAAACTTCAAACAAGAACTCTATAAAAATAGCTATTCAATTTATCTGAAGGTTCACTCACCTCAACAGCTTTCTGTATGTTCATAAGCGAAGATCGCACGACTTCTCGTTAGCCTGTTAAACCTGACCATTTCCTGCACCAATACCGTGTTTATACTCTGCGTATAGATGGTGGGGTATTTCCGCAGTGCCGCTTCCGTGTCAACGTTTTTGTGTAAAATATCCTCAGCCACCCCAAAGAGTATCTCGTGGTCGGATTTTCCACCTTTGGCGGAAGCTCGAGACTGCGTCAAAAGAATGCTGTTGAACAACTGTTGGGTTTCCTGTTGGTTCTTACTGATGTCTGCATTTGGCGTGCCTTCAAAATACCTCAGGATGCGCAATGAGCGGAAGGCTACGTCCATACTCGATGTACGAAGCGCAGTCGCCTTCTTTAGGAGCAAAGTAGCTACCTCTTGGCGAAAACTTGTAGTCTTTATTGTCTATGATGGCCGCGCAGTAGAACTTATCCTGGATTGTCAACAGGGTTCGTCCATCACGTTACACGGCCTCTGTAGTTGCATTCTCCCGTGAGGTGGCTCAGAGGGGCAAACTGGGCGTCCTGTAACGCAAAAACATGCACCAGCGCACATTAAAACAGTAAGGACGAAACCTATATACAGGCGATTCGCTCTGACCTGACACCTCTAATTAACAACTATTCCACGAGTGCGCGTTGGCTGTAATCATTTTATACCCAAAAAAGCGTGACTGGAATAATTGCTTTATTAAAAACGCCCACAAAACATCGATAATTCTTCCCAACTTTATTTGTAAAACAACCGATTATCAGTTTGTTTTTAATTTTCAGCAAACGCGTACGGTTACCATTTTTGGAGAGCATGGTATAATGGCTCATATACCATAATGGCTAAGCCAATCAGAGCTCTTGAATTGCATTATCCAATGATTCAGGTTTTAATAATTACCTGATAATGATGCCATTCTGAATAGAGAAACTGTCAGTTGGTAGCCCAGCTTGTTCCAGTCCCTTATCTTCACAGGGTCTCCCAAAGTCTCCGGTCACCGAGAAGTCATTCGAACAGGGGATGTTGGTGTCACGGAAAGCTTTCACCCATTCTGCAGTTTGTTGCTGAAAAGAGAAAATACTTCCTTAAAACAAGAGAAATCATTAGTCTCGCTTGCGCAAGAAAACGGAGAGCTCCACTACGAAATGTTTCGTAACCCATGGGGAATTCGAAAAGTTTCTTGACAAGCTCAATTAATTAGCTATCAGTTTAATGACTTTTATAAACTTATATTATTACGGAAGCAAAAATGGCTGATTACCAGGAAAACGTAAGTAGTTGTTTACCATTTTATGATTTAACTGATAGAGAATTTCATGCTATGGTTGGCAGCTGGCCGGATAGGCGTCATGATCTTGACCTTTACGATCTCCTCCCAAATCCAAATAAATTGGACGAGTGCGACCCAGATTTAATGTTAAATACCCCTGTTCAGAATATTATTCAGTCCGTAGCTTTAATAAAATGCTAGTAAATTCAGATGCAAAATCTTTTTCAATTCTTCACTGCAATATTAGAAGGTTATCGAAAAACCTAAATCTATTAGAAGAACTATTATGCTCCCTTGACTCCAGGCTGGATATACTTGGAATTACAGAAACTAAATTAGGTGAGAAGTGTATTTGTAATGTAAATATCAAAGGCTAGAATTTTTTTCACACGAACTCGCCAACAAACGCAGGTGGAGCTGCTTTATATATAGCTAAAAATCTTAGACCTTGTTTACCTGGAGTGGGGGACCCCGGTCTAGTGGGGTAGGTTTCTTTTGTTTTGTGTCCCCCAGAGCGTAAAAACAAAAGAAACCAACCCCACTAGACCGGGGTCCCCCACCTCCATGTAAACAGGCCCTTAAAGCTGTACCTAGGCCTGACATTAAATTTGACGTAGCGCTAGTTGAATCCTGCTGGGCAGAAATTGATGCTGGTTAAGGTAAAAAGAAGATCATAATAGGTTGTATCTACAAGCATCCCACTTGTAATGTTAGAACAGTTTCGCCACCAACTAATTGATATAATCAAAACAATTAATCCCAATAGACACGAAATTTACATCTTTGGAGATATGAATATAAATTTCCTGAAATTCAATGAACATACTCAAACTGAAGAGTTTTTAGATATGCTTTAATCACAATAAACATCTTACCGATCATTACTAAACCTACGAGGCTTACTGATCACACAGCAACACTCATTGACCATATATATACAAATTGTTTACAAAATTTCACAGCAGGAATCCAGATAGTTGATATAACATATCATCTTCCGATTTTCTGCTTAGTCAGAACCCAGCCTACACGGAATAATAGTAACAAAAAATATTTTCGAGATCACTCTAAATTTAATAAAGATCTATACTTAGATGATATAAAACTGATTGATTGGCACGAAATCCTCAACCCAGAAAAGAATCTAAATGAAAAGGTACAGGAGGCAATCAATACCCTGAATAAAATTGTAGACAAACATGCGCCTATCAACCTGGCTAGCCAAAGCAAGCAAAGGCAACTTAATAAGCCATGGCTCACTAAAGGTATCCTAAAATCGGTAAAAAGGAAACAGAAAATGTACCGTACGCATTTCTTATAAACATTATGCAGCTATTCTTTCACATCTTGAGAATAAAAGTAAGACAGAATACTATAACATGCAATTTGTAAAGTACAAAGACAACCTTAAGCAAACTTGGAAACTTATTGGTACTCTTGTTAAAAGGAAAACCAAAGGTCAAACTTTCCCCACGAGAATCACTCACAATAACAGGACTTTTACACAAGAAAAGGACATTGCCGATTTATTCAATAACTTCTTTGTAAACATTGGGCCAACTTTAGCAAAGGAAATCAAAACTGATCATACAGACCCTTTGCAATATAATTATAGAATCTACGCCATCAAACAGTTTTTAACCTGCTCCAGTAACCCAAACGCAAGTAATTACATTATTTGCTGGGCTAAAAGGAAACAAAGCATCCCTTATTGTTCCTAACAAGCTCATTAAACTTGAAACTCAACAGCTCTCTGCACCCTTTACTGAAATATATAATGAATCAATATTATCAGGGGAGTTTCCTGAAATCTTTAAGATATCAAAAGTAACCCCAATATTTAAAAGTGGTAGTCTATCTGAGTTAGGAAATTACAGGCCAATAGCAGTTATTTCTCCCTTTAGTAAAGCACTGGAAAGACTAGTATATGACCAACTTGTGTCCTATCTGGAAAAAGAATGTCTACTTTTTAACTTCCAATTTGGCTTTCGAAAGGGATATTCCACTGAATATGCCATTCTAGAAACTGTGGAAAAATTAAAGTCAGCAGTTGATGATCAAAAAATAAAATTTGTTATTTGCTGCGGTTCTAAGAATAGCAGCAAATTATTGTTTTCACGGTTCCAGCTTATTGACAGCTGTCACGGAGACTCATGTATAAAGGGGCGGGATTTTACTGAGGTGATCATTCTAAGCTGACATCGCTGCCTGAGTTTCGTTTGTCAATGCTTTTTTCTTTTTGCGTCATTTGAATTTATTTCCGTTGGTGGATTATGTACTCATAATTCTGTATTCTAGTTCAACCTCTCTCCCTCGAGGTTCATGTTAAGTGTCTGGCTCTGCTTTCGGGAGGGTTCAGGTTTCCTCCTTAGTGAAGGGGGTTTTTCCTGACGGGCAGCAGACACGATATCATCTTTATTATTGATCAAAGAACTTTACTTGGAACTTGTTACATTTTTCTACTTCACTGCCTTTGCATTACCTAAGTGTTTGTGTTTGTATGAATAAACGGGGACTGATGTTCGCATTACGCTGGGCTTCTATCGAGTGCAGCAGTCAGTTTTCCTATTTAACACGGAATGATTTCATTGTTTTCACTGTTCACCGTTTCAACAATAGGGAATAGGGAAAACGTGGTATCTTTTTAGACTTTTCCAGGGCCTTTGATACAACTAACCACCATATTCTCTTAGAAAAATTACATAAGTATGGGATCCAAGGACTCCCCCGTGCATGGTTTTCAAGCTATATAACTAATCGTAAGCAACATGTCAAAGTTGGTAAAACAGAATCTAGCCTGAAAACTATCAAATGCGGCGTACATCAAGGTTCCACACTAGGTCCACTGCTGTTTCTGTTGTATATTAACGATTTGCCCAGGTCCTCGAAGAAATTAACTTTTAGGATTTTTGCAGATGATACAAATATGTTTTATTCTTCAAAAGACCCAGAACAATTACAATCAGTTATCAATGAAGAACTAGGAAAGGTCTTAAAATTCTGTGCAGCAAATATGCTGTCCATTAACTTCAAGAACACTAATTACATGATAATTACTTCACCTAAGAAGAAAACAAATATCAGAATAACAGCTTGTAATATAGAGCAAAAGTCCCAGATTAAATATTTGGGTGTCTTTATTGATGAACATCTAAAATGGGATGCTCAGCTCCAGCACATTAACAACAAAATAACAAAAAACATTGGAATTTTATTTAAGCTTAGACATTATGTGCCTATAAGTACACTCAAACAACTGTACTATACTCTCATATATCCGTATCTAATGTATGGATTAATGAGCTGGGGTACCATTTATCAAACTAAGTTAAATAAAATCAAAGTAAGTCAAAATAACTCATGTATTCGTGCATCTTCTTTGCAAACAAAAGAGAAAGTCCCACACCGTACTTTACACTAATAGAGATCTTAAAGTTAGAGAATATCTTTAAATAAAAAATTGGCGTTCTTGTGCATAAAATGCAATATCAAAAAAAGGATACACCTCCTGCCCTCTATGACTTAGTTCAACCGGCTTCAGCTGTCCATAATTGTAATACTAATGGTAGGTATGGCACTAATCAAAACCCGTGCAGACCATTTTCCAGAACTAATTATGGCCTAGCAAGGTTTCTTGTAGTGGCATCACAGACCTGGGAAGCAACACCTATGAAAATTAAGTGTCTCCCCTCGAACAGTTTTAAAAAAGAATATAAACTCTTTCTACAGTGTACTTGACAGTCAGGCATCTTGAACAACTCTAATCTGTTATTTAGCTCTATTTATTTAATTGTTTAATTCAAATAGTTTTTTATAAGTACTGTATAACCTCCACCCACTTGTAACTGCTCTGTGGTAGTACATTGTAGCCAACTCGAAAGCTTGGCTCCTTTGGCTGCTACACACTTTTTTCCTTTGTTATGTTTAATTCAATGTATAGTTAGCTCTGTTTTTACTTCTTCTTTTTTTTCTTATTGTTGTTGTATTGTAATTGAATAAGTGTGAATAAATGAACTTGAACTTGAACTTGGACAGTCCGTTGCGAGTCTCGATTCTCGACACGATTAGCGATTTATTTACTAGCTCTAAGAAAATTAGGAGAGTTGTTTACCTTGTCTTCAGGGTCGCCTTCTCTTGCTGATCTTGTTATCCAACAGTCATTCCTGTGAGTTGTTTTGCAGGTTGCCATTCTATTCCACTTCACCAAGAATCTCAAATATGTGATGCAATGTTGTCAATCACTAAAAAAAATTGACAAAAATTAACTTCATTTGAAGTGGCATTTTACAGAACGGAACTTGTATGAGAGTTTTTTAGACACCTTATATCATGTCAGGTCAGTTGGTCAGGCTAAGAGTCCATAATTTGTATTTTGAATGGAAATTTAACTGCTTTTACATCCTTATTATCAAGGTGTCCATAAAAGCAAGGTGTTCACATGGCCAGAATTGACTTTACTAGGGGATTCTATTTCCGGGGTGGAGACACTCCCTCATTTGGTCTAGACAGGGATGTTGCGCTGTACAGGGTATGGTTTTCAGGGTCTTGAGTCTTCCCCACTAATTGGCATCTTTAACAGGGTGTGTTTTTGAACTGGAAGCCTTTAAAAGAGTGCGAGTGAAGGCTACAGGTTCCATGAAATTAGTATCAAAAAATTACCTAATTCTGTATGCAACACCTAACTAATCAGGGTTACAGTTGAACCTTGATTATCTGGACTTTTCAATTATACACACTTGTTTTGCTGGTCACGTTTTTCATGAATATTTACCCTTTAAACCCTAAGAGTGATCAGCATCAAGTTTCTCTTTGTAATATGAATGCCTTGTAAAACAGAGTGGTCACTAGCAAGGCTGCTGCCTAACAGGTGCCCGGTTGCCAGAGGTGCCTACGATTTACCCTCAGGCGACCAAAATTTCAAACAGGGAGCCCAAACAGGCGCCTAAAACATATGATTCTAAGGCTAACTTCCAGTGAACAAACAACAAAATTCCCTGCTCATTCTGCACTTTTGATACGACAAAGGAAAACATCGTTTGATCGTCAGCCATAGGCAAAAATATATTACCACTGATAAAAGGTAAACAAACAGCACTTATGTCTTGAAATTCGCTTCTGTGACTTCTGCTGCAGAAGAGTTGAAGTTTCTTATCTGAAAATGGTGTCAAATGAATAATTTAATAGTCTTTGAAAAACCTTCGATAATAAAATCATGACTTTTCCTTCAGCGTTACAAACGTTAGGTCGCTACTGCATGAAGTAAAAACCAAGGAAAAGTCACGATCCGTGGAAAAGAAAGCTGGTTTCAAATTACACGAGACATCGGTATGCTATTAACTTTGCAAGTTTGTAGCATTTTCTATCTTGCTAAGAACACAAACAGGAGTACACTTGGAGGTTTCTTTTATTATTTATTCACCGTTATCTACGCCTTCTTTATTTTTTTTCTGTACGTTTTGTGAGAACTTTTGAAAGGCTCGCAAAAACATTCCAGTTTTAAAAATGATTCACAGCGGCTATTCAAGATCATATTTCAATCTCTTTTTAATTTCACTGTTGCGTGCCATGCCCGTAAATACAAACCTTCACAAATATAAAAACAGTTGTCATAGTTCAAAAGATAGACTTGATACAAAAATACTGAGTCAATTTTCCAAACTTCCAGATAAAAACCTTTCATTGGTCCTTTTTTATCACCTAAAAACTTAAACTTAACTTTGCTCTAATTGTACACACAAGTTCCATTGGTCCGTGCATTCAATGTATGTGTGAATGGTTATTGTTATGGTTCTCAAGAAATAAATCGTTTCCTGAAATCCGTTTGAGCGGTGAGTACAAAAAATGCTGGTCTCTCAAAACTCGAGTCTGACTTGGTTTTCGTGTTTCGAAACTCGATTCGTTCGAGGCTCGAGTATTGTTCCAGTTTCGTCTCGTCACACAATGCTCCTTTTAAGCCTTCCTGACTTATCTAGGAAGATCGAAGGGCTTCTGCTCGCAGGGTATAAATTGATAAACAACAACAACTTCAAAAATAGATCTTTCCAGCCATACCTCATTTTGGGTATTCTGACCAATCCAGTCAGAGTTACACTCACTAAAAAAGGTACCATTTTGGGGGAAAATCCACTCCCAGTTTTGCTGTTTACATACTACTCTTTAAAGATTAATTTGCTCCTTTCCTAAAAACTTAGCCAGCCACAATTCCATGCAATATAAGGACAATAAACTGCTAGAAAGAGAGAAAGATTGAAATAGATTCGCAAAAAGAGGTCCAAATTTTGGCTTTTGCGCATGCATGAAAAACAAAAAAGCTGTTTAGTTAAGTCAGATTAGTCAAAAAACATGCCTTTTTCCTTGCAAAACTCCTTTTTAGCCTTTCTTATGCTAATTAGCCAAAAACCAGTCCAAGGAAGAGGAATTGGTGAAAAATGCAGTTTTTTCACTACTCGATGGCCGTCACCAGGGGGTTAATAAAGTTACTGATCTTTTTTAATTGGGCTCCTAGAAATGCGGCTTGGGCTGCTAACTTTTTCTTCTAATTATTTTTCTTAGGCAGCAGCCTTGCACTAGAATTACAGAGGTGATCACACAAGATGAATTTGCTTGATATTTTATCAACTTCTCCCCTCTACTTCTGTAGGCAATGAATAGGGGCAACAAATGAGCATTTAAATTTTTCAGCTGAATTCTAATATGCTCGATTGTCATGTTGCTATGGGAATGTCATGCTTGATTCCACATTGGTTCGATCATAATCTCAAATCACTGCCATGTCTATGCAATGAAAGCAGTCTGTTATTTCGATTAAGGATAAGCAAACCATTAGTTCACATTAGGAGAAAAGTGAAAAAGGAACAAATTTAGCACTCAAGTTTAAAATCATCAAGCAGCAGATCTCAGATATACGCAAAAACAAAGAGAAGATCCTGAAATTCACCGACAGTGTCGAGACAGGCGTAGGATTGAAAATACAGGTTTTAAAGGCTTCAGCAGCACACCTCTACCATTGTAGGAAAATCAGCTTACCCAAAGGGTAAGATATTATTCTTTAGTAAAATCCAGCTAGTGGTCTATTATCTATGCTGCATTCTGATTGGTTGGGCTACTACTACGGTATATGTTAGAGCCCACTAGTAGCAAAAAGCGCCGGCTTTTTGGCAGCAAAAAAGGATTAAAGTCTAGCTTTAACTAGCCTAAGTTGTTTTGTGTTGATATTTTTGACCAACTAGTTGGATTTTACTAAAACAAAAAATTATTCCTCTCGCCGTCATGGCCTCTGAGTCAATAGCCTATTTGACCTTCAGCCTCATGGACTGTTGACTCAGAGCCCATTCAGGCTCAAGTAATAATTGTTAATAAGTTTAATACCTAAGATCTCTGAGGAGCTTCACACATATGTGCAGCCTATTATTACACATTTTTTAGCAACATGGCCTTGAAAAAGCAACATAAGGCTAGATGAAATTGCAACATGGGTAAATACCAACCGGGCAGTGGAACATGGCCTACTCCTCAAAATGGGAAATGACCATATTTGAAATTCAGACAATGGATAAATAACCTCCCCACCCATACCCATACTTGTCCACACTCCAATAAGCGGTACACGGTCGATTATCTCTAAATATGGTAAATTAAGACCATGGAAAGGAAAATAGGAAATTCCTGGGGGTCTAATCGGACGAACCATCCGTGGGAGGGGTATCGATATTTTCTGGAATCACACAATACTCCAACAAACTTATGCATGGCTTTGTTTAATTTCTCATTGTATTTTTTGTTCTTTATTCTTATAGTTTTGTACAGAATTTTCATGACAATACAATGCCATGCATAAATTTGTCAGAGCATTGGACAACCCTCTCCCCATCCAAGAGCAGACCTCTCAAGTCTCACGGTTTTGAGGACAATCTCATGCTCTCACGATGAGGCACAAGAATCTCACGGTAAACAGATTCACAAGCTGATGGAATACACTTTTTGAATATTTTCATTTTTGCCTCAAAAAATTGATTTTCATGTGTCAGTTATGTAGAAATCCACAGTTCTCAGGCATATTCATCTCTATTCGCCACATTTGATCGTCTTGTTGACAAGATAAATGCCAAATAAGGTTATCGTTACCAGTTTGTTGCATTTAGATACGTTTCGTATACGATGTCAAAATGGTACGAGACGATGAAAATTCATCAGGCGAAGACAAAGTTCAAAACAGAATGGGAAGGTTCGCATCCTGTTAAACGTATTCTTAGCGATCAATTTTCCTTTTCATGTCTTTCTTACACCTGGTTTTAGTTCTTTTTGACGCCGTAGATAAACCTCCTGGTTTCTCGCTAGATCTCCAGGTTTTTTTACCTTGATCTCCAGGTTTTTGGTCTTTTGGTGTTGAGACGTCTGCTAGACTGTTCACAGTCCTCTATTTTTCTGTAAGATCATCGAGATCCAGTGCTTTGCATTACAGGCTGCCATCTTGCATGATTGTCAAAACTACTTAGGGGGAGCTATAATCCCCAACGCCTGCCCACTCGGCACATTTGAAAATCATGATAGCCGTGACAGTAAGAGGCGGTATATCTAAACTATCTCACGAAAAAATAGGGGACTGTGACAGTTGAGAGGTCTGCAAGAGGGCCTCTTTGTTAGTGAAGCCCACATTAAGCGAACACCCTATATTACATTAAGTGAACGAATGCCTCACTTTGTTTAAAGAATTTCTTCCCATTTTTCCTGCAAACCGAGACTGTATTCAGGGAACACCAACTAAGGTCACGTGGGTATCCACAAAATTATTACAGGTTTCACTGTAGATGGGGATGGTAAATGTCCGGAGAAGGGCTAACTTAAAATTACCTGATAGTGATCAGGTTTAACACATCAGCTTAATCCTTTCGCTAAAATTATCTAAATGTTTCATGCTCATAAGACCAACATTTTCTGTGTTGAAGCCTTAAAGTTTAAGTTAAGCTCGAGCATACCTCACAAGACCTGTGCGAGACCTTCTGCCAAGCCACGTCCGTGAATTTCTTTGCCATAAATAAAGCCAAGTGTTGACGAATAAGTTAAAGAGCCGATCGAGGTGATATACGGGTACCTGGAGTCTAAAAATGTCACTTCAGGTCCAATTTAACTACAAACATGTTCTGCGTGCTCCGTCGCCATATTTGTTTCTTTTAGTGCCCAGTCTCAATCAGCGCGCGAGTTTTGCGCGCGAGCTTTCAGAGAACTCTTTTCGCGTTTCTCGAG